GATTGATGTGATGACAGCTATCATAATACGATCATCTCCTGGGAGTCTGAAAATGACATTACTAATAAGAGAGACAGCTGGAGTTGGCAGGACTGAAGCAGAGAGAACTGCTTTCAAAAGTGCATTTCTTAATCGGTAGCCATCTAGATGTGCAATGGGACATTAGGACTTTCTAAATAATATGTAGAGCCTAAATAATATTAAATTGCTCATTGTAAACCATTTTAGCAAGGTAGACAATCTAAGTCTGACTCTTGATCTCAGAAGTTTCTGTCAATGCATTTCTTATGCCAATAAAGATGGCTCAGGCTATGGACCAGGACAGACCACTGGCAAGCTTGCTCATGGTTGTTTTTTTCTCCCCCAGGTTGTACAAGCTTTGTGAGCCACCTCCCCCAGTTGGAGAAGAATGAAGAGAATTGTCAAGGGCCAGGCAAGCAGAAACTTCTGGCCTAGACAAAGGGCAGCTGGTTAAATGCTCTTCACGCAAAGATCAAGAGTTGGGGTTTGGGTTTTTTGTTTTTTTTCTGTACATCTTCTCCTGTGGTATGAAGAACTAGCCTTCGGTTTATTCTTGGACATTGATATTAGGAATGAATAAAAATTCATTCAGAATATTCAGCTTCACAAACTGATCTATGGATTGAAATTAAGCATTCAGTTTTTTAATTTCAAAAGTTATGCCTTTGATTTATGAGGGGAAACAATCCACGATTACAAAGAAAATAACCACTGGTTTTCTTTCCATTTATGAAAATGTTTTGCTGTGTGTTTTCACTTCCTCCCATGGGGTCTAGAGAATGCTGGATGTTTACCGAGGATTCTGTCACTGAAATCATGACACAAAATTATCAAGGACAACATAGATTTGGGGTCACTGATTTTCAGTTTCTCCCTGTGCAGGGAAGGTGGATGAGCATTCTTTACTCTTTCCCTGGAGAGGAGCTGACCTCAGTAGAGAGGAGCTGCGTGCAGCCTTCGGCATGAACATGCTTTTGGGTGTCCTTTCTACCCAGGAAGATTGTAGGTGAGGAGTCCTGCTCCGGGCTGTTGTAACAGATACGCCCTCCATGGGCCGTGCTTGGGGAGGGCTGTACCAAATGGGTCCTGAGTGGGAAGAAGCAGGAACCAGAAAGCTCAGGGAAGGAAGACCAGAGTAAATAGAAGAAAATAGCTTTTAAAAACCTTAACCTTGACAAGAAAGCCTAAAACTCTTTATTTCACATAAGATATGAGAAGGAATCAGTATGAATATGTGAAAATACAGCTGTGTTTGTTTTAATTTAAAAGTGCTTGGGACCTTGTTAGTTAGTGAATCCACAAGGATTAACCTGTTTTCAGTTTCCATTGTAAATTATACCTAAGGTTCTTCCTGTTTCCATTGATAAATATTTTAACAGTGAAATCAGTCATATTATTTTTAAATCCGTAATTCTCAAAACAGTTACAGTCCCTTTATTATCACTGTGATGATTATGAAGATCTCATTAATCCACTGTGTGAGTATCAATGGATTGACTCAGTAGTCAGGGCTCAAACAGAAGACATCATGAAGATACACCGACTGGGACAACTTTTTCCTGTTACACTTGCCCTCACTCACACGCGTCACAGAATACCCCGGGACAACTCACGGTAACAGCTGCGTGTCAAAGGCCTTTCACGCCTAAAATGCATACAAAGAATGTAACTCTTGGTGACCTAATTTCAACTTATGGAATTTGTCATCCTTGACAGACTATCCTTGACAGACTATCACAATAGCCTCATTCTAGCAGTTGCGAGTTGAAGAATGAAATTTCATGTTCTATATGGAATGACATGTTTGCCTACTGGTCAAGGTAATAATGTTATTTGACACAGAAGCACTTGTGACTCTGCTGTAAACATATTTATAGTACAAAAATAAGGAAAGTCTTTTGAAAGAGTTTTGAAGATAATCTCTTAAATCTATATAAAAAGTTGAACATTTTGAGTTTAATGAAAAGATGTCTTTAATGTACCGTCTATGCTAAGTGTACTCTTAACTTTCAGGGTCACGATAGGTGGTCATGTGTAACTTTGCCAAACTGAAAATCTAGATCCTTTTAACCCAGAGCTACTGCAGGACTACAATTGATGAACTAACAGATACTTTTCAAACTGATACTGCTGTTTTCCTATCTTTATTCTGAGATCACTAATTCTCTTTGAAGGGTTGAAGGACAGGTCACGCAAACACTAGTCATCCCCACTCTGCTGCAGGGAAGTGAGTTGCTCTTGTGGAAGTCATGAGGAGCATGCTGTAAGGACTTGCACTCTCGATCGGAGAAATGTTGCTCTCTACAATAGTAAACATGTGTCATTTTCTTTCCAGGGTTAGCAGACATGTATAGTTTTATTTTAGGGTTAAAAATAATATTCCCCTTTGCCAGGGTGCTGGGCGATGACTACATGCTCAGAATTTAGAAAGGGTTTATAGGAACATTACTCACTCTAATCATTGCGATTATAATAAAAGTTGTAGCTAAGCACATAGGAAGTGATTCAATCACTGAACACTGAAACCACTACCCACAGAGTCTGTTCTGACTTGTGTTGGCCCCACATGTGTCAGACCAGAACTGTGCTTCCTGGGGTTTTCAATGGCTGATTATTATTTAGAAGTCCATTGCCAGGCCTGCCCTCTGAGCTGAACAGCGCTTTGATGTGTTGTACCTGGGTTTGATTGTTAGGGCCTCACTCAAGGTGCTACTTGCTACTCTTGACTTCACTCTACTGTGATAGTCAGGGCATCGAGTAAGAAACGGACTGGCAATTTGTCCAAGTCACTTGATTGGCACATGATAGAAGCCGGATATGACTCTAGGAACTCTGCCCTCTTCACCGATACATTGCACTGCTTCTCGTTAACCATGTAAGGAGTATTGCAATATTTCCAGTTATTAGTACACCTGGGACTTGTGTTGCCATTAAATTTTACGAATTATATTTTCCTCATTATTTAACACAAAAAGAAAGAATATCTGTCAATGTTTACTTATGTTGAATATGTAATATTGACTTCAGAGTGCAAACTTTACAAGCAAACATCCACGTTTTAGAAGGCTCACACTAGTTTCTATCTATCGTAGCACTTTTTTCTGGTGCTTAAATTCTTTGTGCACTCTTGGGCCATTCTTATAGCAGCAATGTTCAATTTGAAATTAGATTAATTGATTTAATTAGGTTGATTAATTAAATAGGTTACTTTTTATTATAATATATGACATAGAATCCAACACCACTAATTTAAATGCTGTGATAATTAAGGGTATAGCAACATGATATTGGCTTCGGCACCAGTTGTAAAAGCCAAGAGAACAAACAGGTGAACAAATTCCAGCAGCATATTAACATAAGGAAAGAGCTTGAAGCACTTTTAACACAGGCATTGTTTTTTGCAAAATTAGTGTTTCATTCACTGGCAGCCCTTATTTGAGACTAACTGCATGAATTTGAAATGAAGAAATTTTATTTAAAATGCTGGGGCCTCCTTACTTTCCATCCTTACTGTATTTAAAGTGCTATGAAATCCTTACTGTTATTAAAATATATCTTCTCCCATATAGTATGTTACACAGGCCAGTGAACATATTCGTACTCACTTTAAATTTTGAAAAATTGCAATGTTGAAATTTAGTGAACAACTTTTAAGTCATTTTTTCACGAATGACTCTAAAAGTCATTTTCACCCTTTCTTCATTAATAGTATTTACTAATATTAAAAGCAACCTTTAGCATTTGACTCAATTATTACTGAATTTTTGAACACTGTCTATTTTTGAAGGCTTGTTTTCATGTATATTATATTACTACGTTATAGGTTAATACATTTTCCAAAGTCAGTAGTGGTTATTTCGTTAGCATACATGCACGTTATCCAACTTGCTGAATGAACTGGCTGTTGTCCTGCTTAAGTAGAAGGGCCAAACTTTTGAAGCAGTTTAGGGTTATCTGAATTTTTAACTAAGAGAAACATCTTCTACTTCATAAGTGTTCAAGGTTTTGGTAACAAACTTCAGAAAAGCTTAACTTGCATGAAGCAGAACAGGTAGGAAAAAGTTACAATAGGGTTCTTTGACCAAGAACGGACCCCAGACTAATGCCTTTAACAAAGTCAGGATTTTTCTAGATACTGACAATCATTATGGCTAGGCTTTAGCTCCAGTAATAAAGTATTGCATTGAAGCCTTGCCTTGGCCAATCATCCCATGTTGCCACACGCCCCCTATGCACGTATGGAGGGATGTTTCATTACCATCTGTAGATCCATCCTACCTCCCTTGCCAGCAGTTGTTACGTAGAAAAGCTCACGTTACTCAGATAGTTATTTCATTGGGAAGAGGTATCTGAAGCATACTAAGCTATCCAGGTATTTACTACTTTTTATTTTATGATAAATACACTTCAGAAATTACTGAGATCCTTGTGTTGTAAATGAAGATATTGAACATGGACGTTTTAAATGTATTGAACATCTGTGCTATAGACATTACCAAACCCACTGCGTGGAGTCGGTTTTGACTCAGAGGACAGAGTTAACTGCTCCCTGGGGTTTCCTAAGCTGTAACTCTTTAAATGAGCATAACTAAATGTGCCATAATAATATCTTGTAGAGCATACCATTCAACCTACAGTCAGCTTGGCTTTACCATCCACAGGTAGCTGATGAAAAACAAGATTGTTGAGTTTTTACATTATGTTTCTACTTAGAGTAGAAAAGTTTGGATAATAAATCTTTGGTGCAAATAACAGAACCGATGTTTCCCACTCACACGATCATTCAATAAATGTTCTTGATAATTCATTACACGCAAGACATAGCCAGTAGGCCTGGGGTGTGTGTTGATTGTGTTTGATTCTAATATCTTCACGGTATCTTTTGGGTATTGATGTCTCCTTGTGTCTCTCGCTTAAAATGACAGTGTTTGCAACACAGGTCTATTCTAATACTAAAGGTTTATGAGAATACCCTGTTGTCTTTGAATTTAATTTTCCATGAATTTTTGAAGCTCCTTTGAGGGGCATTAAAAACATTCATGAAAAAATGAAATTCAAATACAATGGTATTTTTCTATGATATTTTTGAAGCACTCTCAATCTAATGCTCCATAAATGTATTTAGCTATATAACGAAGCCAAGAACACTAAATTGGTGAAATGCTTTAGAAAACCTTCATTGTAATTTGAACGATTTCAAGCAAAAAGATTATACCAGAGCATGCTTCCTTATTTATCGCTTTTCTTGTTATCTGATATTTTGCACTTACAACAAGATCTATATATACATATATTTAAAATCTACTATCCAAATACACTCCTGGCAGTAACTAGCACTGAGGTCCCTGAAAGGGGTCCCTGACTGGTGGACTCCATGTGCTTATAAAAAGCTCTGAATTGCATAGTATTTTAACATCTGGTAAGTAAGAGAAGTTTGATCTCCCCAAGCCCCCAGAGTACTAGCAGGGTGGAGGGTAGGGGACTGGAGGGGTGTCAGTGAGAATAGGGTGCTGCCCAGCAGGTCTGAGGTGCTCATAGGGCCACTGAGGCTGGGATCTGGCTCTAGCTCCCAGCAGAGGTGTAATAGGGATATGCTAGGGTAGGCCATGGTCAGAAGGGGCCCTGAGATGGGAAGTCAGATGCACGGAGCCCATGAGACACCACTTTAGCTGATCAGCACCATTAGCATCTTAGTCTTACTTGCTAGCCCTGTCTGGGTGAGCCCAGGTGAGGGCTGGCCAGGCTACTGGGTGGTGATAGCATCAGCAGTAAGTAGCCAACAGCAAATGAGCAGTTTAAGTTCAAGGGCAGAGGGTGATCCTAGCCATCACCACCTTAGAAGCAGCTTTGGACTATTGATTCTAAAAGGGGTAAAGGGGAGCAGGGTGAAGAGGGTCTTCCCCAGCAAGATCCAGGAGAATCGCAGAGGAGGGGCCAGTGAAAACCCAGTGGACAGCATGCACCCTTGTAGCACCCAGGTTCTCCCATCCATGGGCACAGGGCTTCTGGCCCTGCCCCCATAGCTCCAAAGGGCATTTTAGCGTTGTTGTGGGGATGAGCCAGTTCCAGCCATTCTGAAAATACAGAGGGGATGGGGGTGCAGTCAGTGCTTGGGTTATCATACCTCTACAAGACTATAAAGCTCTCTCTCTCTTTTTTTCTTGTGGCTTTGGGGCCAGGCTCTCTTGAGACAATGTGGAGGGGGGAGGCAGCAGTGGCAGCTGACCCCAACAGGGGACTGTTGAAACATTCACAGCACAGGGGTGAGGGGAGGTAATCTGGGCATCCTTCATTTTTGCATAACACTGAGCTGATCTTTGGAACCTAGCCATGTCATTAAGTGGGAAGTGGGTATAATTTCAGATGAATCTATATTTTTGTAACTGCCAAATAAATACATAGAGCATAGCCTTTTGCTTTAAAAGTATTTTTATAAGTACTCATTTACACAGTATTATTTTGAATAATAAAATATTAAATTGGTTCTGTGCATAGTACTTCTTTTGAATATATTCATTTATATTTAACATTGTATAACAAACATCAACATTTTCATGATCAATTTCCTTTGAGTGTTTTATTGTAAGCTTTTATTACTTTGTAAAATATACATGTAACATAATTTCAATCACTCACTTTTGTGTATGGCTAAAATGATCACAGTGAATTATGTGTTTGTGTCATTTATTTTTGTCTCAACAAAGGACTGGAATAGTAACATTGTATCATAAATGTCAATAATAATAAATTGAAGTGTAGTATGACTATTACAGTGCCGTTCCTTTTCAATTTAGCCAATTCCTATTATATACTTACCTTTTGGGAGGCTATAGCCATGAGATGCCTTTTTTTTTTTTTACCCTTCGAGAGTTCCCAACCGTATAAGATGAAACTGGATGTACATGGAACTACAAATCACAGTCTCTACAAATAAGGTCCGAATACCTACAAGCAAGAGCCACGTTGGCTCACAGAGACAATGACTGCTGGGAAGGAGTCAGGAAAGAAGTTCAGACGTAGGAAAGCTTCAAGAGAAATGGGAGCTCTTTGCTTTCCTGAATTACTTAGTGTTTATTCTGCATGTGTGGCACTGTGGGATAAGCTCTCGACTGCACCCTCAAGGTGGTGGTTCAAGCCCATCAGTTGCTCCTCATGAAAAGGATGAGGCTTTCAACTCCTGTAAAGATTGACAGGCTCAGAAACCCAACACCTAATGGCTTTGAATCAGAGTTGATTCGATGGCAGTGGTTTTGTCTGTCTCTTTTTTCTATGCATAAACTGCTATTTCAGGTGTTACAAACGGACATAATGCCCAACTCTTATGCTTAAAGAACTTTGTGTATTTAGGTTATTAATGCAGTAAAAAAATAGGTAACAAATATAAGGCACAATATGCTAATACTAATTGAAAGGCAACAATGAAAAACGTACCATAGAAATTCAAAAAATTTAAATTCAATCTAACATTTCTTTATGATACATCTACAAATTCCTTATCAGGCACTGATCTAACCTGGGTATTTAGTGATTAGAAACACAAGTGGACTTCACGCGGTTTATGGGAAAATGGAATGAAAAGACAAGATTTTCCCTGCACTTTTTGAAACCCCCTAGCTTCTTGGTCATATGGAGTTTAAGGTCTAGAGGGGAAAATGTTGATTCAACAACGCTAAGAATGATGATGAGAGAAGGATAGGACAACGTCCATGATCAGTGAGATGATTCAATGGAAGGCTTAGCAACCTGGTGAGCTCAAGCAGCAGGGTAAGAGGAATAACCGAGAAATGGACACAGGGTTTTGCAGGGCTGGCAAAGGAATCAGTCTGGATAGAAGAAAACATTTTTTGGATGCAAACAAAAATAAATAAACCAAACTCACTGGCATCGTCATTTCCGACTCAGAGCAACCCTGTAGGACAGGAGGAATGCCGCCTGTAGGCTTCTGAGACAGTCCTGTGTGCACGGGTAGCATGCCCTCTTTCTCCCAGGGTAGAGCAAACGCTAAGGATAAAAAGAGAATCGGGCCTGGATGGTGTGTGTCTTTGCATGCTAGGCTAAGGAATCTGGAAATTATGTATGACCATTCGAAATTAAGATATGTAGGTGACGAGATTATGGATAATGATGAAATCCAAGTGAGTTTAAAGATGCTTTGTGAGTTGACAGTTCTGGCTGCCTCAGGAAGTTAAAAAGAAATCCAGTACTAGCATAGCAACCACAAAGGTTTTTGTCTTGGTAGTTTCTGGGCCTGTCCCTGAGGGTTATTTGAGCGCTGATTCAGAAAATTGCCTTGGATAGAGAGCATTCGCTCTAGTGTCTTTGATATGGAGATCTATGATACTTTCAGTTATTAAGCTATACCAAATCAGTGATTTAGTATCCTAGTGTGAGAAGAATTCAGACCCACAAATTGCAGGATAAGACTTAAAAGTATGAATCTTTAATAATTAGAGATCTGAAAAATGCAGCCAAACATGGAGCAAAGAATAGACTAGATGCTGGCAGGAGAGCTGACTTTTATACACAATCTTTAAAAGCTTATCTGCATTGTTCAAAACATTGGTTAGAAAGCTACCCATGATAAGATTCGTCTTCAGGTTATTTTAAATGAAACTTTTATTTTGAGACGTTAAGGTAATAGAATGCAGTTGTAAAATAATACCACCAGAGAAATCCAGCCTGCTCTTTACCCAGCTTCTGCCAATTAAACTTTCTTGCAAAACTGTAGCACAATACTAAGGTATTGACATCATTGTGATCAAGATATGAAAGCGTTCCCTCATAAGAATCCCTTACGCCATGCTGACCCTCCCCCCTAACCTCTAACTTTCATCTCTTCTTGAATTATCCTACAACGGTATCGTTCAAGAATGTTATCAAAGGGGAATCAGAAAGTGTAAACAGCCTGTCTTTTGAGATTACCTTCTTTTTCTCTCAGCGAATTTCTACGGGAATTCATTCATGTTTGTAATCCACAGGGAGAGCTTGCTCCTATATTGCAGAATAGTATCCGAGCTGTAGATGCACCATCGTTTGTTTAACCAGTCACCTTTTGAAGAATGTTACTAGTATCCTAGTTTGGAACCATACAAATGACCCTGTCATGAAAATTCATGTAGGACTTTGCATGGGACCATACGTTTTCTATTGCTGAACTCTATGGCAGTTTTCTGTTTCACTTCATAAGAAATCATCAAGCAATTTTCTAAAGTGACTGCAACAGTTTGCATTTCCACCCGGAATGAAGGAGCGATTCCATTTCTCTGTGTATTTAATACGATGCTCTCTTTTGGCCCCTCTCATCTGCGAGGCGTCTCAGCCCGTTAGCATTTCCATCTTCCTCTCTGTGAAGACTCCCAGGGTTGAACACCTGTCAGTGACATGCCTCTCGTGTCTTTTGCCCATTTTCTATTTTGATGGGAATGCTTTTATTTTTGTTTGATGACCAAGGTTTAAAGGGGTTTTGTGAGTGTGTGTGTGTTTTCCAAATCCTAATTATTTATTTCATGCCAAGTTTGCAACTTTTTCCCCTAGTCATTTCCACCCAGGCTTTTAGAGAACCAACGTGTTTATATTTAACGAGTGCCAGGATATCAACATATTTTCCATTTCTAATACTTTTAGTGCCAAGTTTACAAACTGTTTTTAATTCCTAGATTCTAAAGGCCTTTTTTGGTATGTTTTCATTTACCTAAACATTTTGCCATTTTACATTTTATATGAAATCCATGATCCATCCAGAGTTAATTTTTGCAAAAGGTGTATTTAGATAGAGGATCATTTTTATGTTTATAAATGCCTACTTACTCCAGAATGATGGATTTAAAAAGCCGTCGTTCCTTCATAGGACAGCTTTAACAATTTTGTTTTAAAAAAATTATAAAATTGTGCCATTTACTTCTGTCTTCTCTTTCACATGACAGATGCAATTCTATCCTTTTGTCAATATAGCAGGCTTTATTATGCTAACTGTAAAGCAAGCCCTAATATCGCATAGTGTTTGTCAAGATTGTATTCATTATTCGAGTGCTCATCATGCCTTGCTATATACGTTTTGAAATAAATTTGCCGATAGCTACAAAAAATAAAATCCCCGAAATATTTCATTTGAATTGCATGAAAACTTTTGACCAATTTGGAGAGAATTGCCTTATTGAAAATTCCAATCAATTGAAGTTTTATGTTGAGCCATTTACTTAGATTTTCTTTAGTTTCTCTTATCAGTGTCTTTCAGTAATTTAGTTTTGTGGTGAGGGGGTGGCAGTTGTAAACAGTCTTGTCCTTTGAATTAGGTTTCCACATTTCCATGGTTAGTATGTGAGCATGTGACTGATTTTTGTGTATTGATCTAATATCCTGAAACCTTGCTGGACTCACTTTTTACTTCTTCATCTTATATTTTAGAATACAGTAATCATCTATGTTTAGTTATCCTTGAACAGTATCACTCACCTATTACCTTTGTAAAACAGTCATTTCCCCCCAAGGTAGGGTGGAACATGCCTTCAGAGCTCCAGAACTCAGCTAGTAAGATCATAAAAATAGCTATTCCTATGTACTGAGTATTTAATACGTGCCTGCCACTATTCTGAATACTTATATAAAATACTTATATAAAACCTCGAACAATCTTACAAGGAAGGCACTATGATCATCTCTACTTTATAAACTAAGTAGCAATAGCTAAATAAATAAGTAGTGAGGCTGGACTTAGCTGAGGCAGTCTGACTCCATATCTATGCCTCTTACAGAAATGTGTGTATCTTTTTGTTATTAAAATTTTTGAATCTAAATAACATCATGTTCTATATCTTGCTTGTTGTTTTCTACCACTATAACTTGGTTAAATTTACATAAATTTACCACTATAACTTGGTTAAATTTACATAAAATTACATGATCCTTGATCTGTAGACATCATCCTTCAATAAAAATAACAACAACCAAAAACAAAAAAACAAAAAAAACTCCAAATGGATCAGGGGCTTCACTGGAAAACACAAAATTAAAAAATAAGAAACACGATCTCATGCTAGACAATGAATTCTTAGGCTTGACACTGAACACATGACCCATCAAAGAAGGAAATGCTGATGGATCGAACCTCGTCAAAACTGAAAACCTTTGCTCTTTGAAAGCCTTTGTGGAAAGCAATGAAAAGACAAGCGACCAACTGAGGCAAAATAGTTGCCAATCGATAGCAGATTCCTAAAAAAGCCAGTCAGAAAAACCTACACACTGAAGGATTGCTTTGCTCTCACATCCCTGGATGACATCATCAAGACAATGGAGACGAGAAAGTGGAGGAAGGGCCGGGAGGTAAGTGTGCATGGCCATGCAGGGTCAACACTCGGGATTCTGCGGGATGACAGTCCCAGTTGCGATGTTGCATTGCGGTTCTGAAAGGCGTTGCCTTGCGGTGAAACTGGGTAGAGAAGACAGGACATTTCTCTCACCCTTTCGATCCCAACTGCCCCTCCCACAGCACTTTACTGCTTCACTGTGTTTGCCAAGAGCCCTAGTTCGAAGACACTCAGCTCTAGCACCTTCAATGAAGTGCCTGGGGGCACCCCACTCCACCATTCAGCCCCCCCAAGTAAGGGCACTGAATCTTACTTGCTCCATGCTCTTGAAAGGGCACCCCACTGATTCATGCTCTGGCTCTTGGTGCCGCTACGCCATTTCTCTGCCACTCTGTCACTTCGGTGTTGGTATGGCTGGATATAAAGGCTCACAGTACAGGAATCTTAGAGTCCAAAGGACAGGC